CCTCAGACCTTACCTGGCAGTTTGCTTTTCTGTAGCACGCAACCTCCAGGAAGTAGGAGTAATAATTTTCTTTTTATCAAGTGTAGCTGTAGCTCTCACATACATTGCAAAGTAGTTGATTGAGAAGGTGATGGTTTCAGGCCTCCTGAATATGCTGGAAGTCCAATGTGGATGTGGCAGTGGTTGAAGCTGCCTCAGGTCTTCTGTGAGCTGGATATGTAAGACTGTTCGGTGTTGAACTGTAGCTCTGACACTCTGTATGCTTCTACCAGCTGATATCACTGATCTGATCTTTTAGCTCCTCCTGTCTTAATTTACATAGATTGTATATCTTCAGTGCTTTTCCTTTCAATTACAATGTCTGAGATACTTTATCACAGTCTTCAGTCCTACTCGTCATTTTGGCTTACAGGAGAACCAGCAGCCTCCAATCAGAGACTTTTTGTACCCCAGGAAATCGGACTGTAATGGAAATGCTTAAAGAAAATGCACATAACCTTAGGAATGTAGGAAAAGTCTGAGTACACAAGACTCAAGTAGTTTTGATAGTTTCAACTGTTATTTTTCCTTTCTCTGGTCCAAGATTTTTACCTGGCTGTGAGGTCAAGTTATTTGTGAGTTACTGGGTCTGCTGGTGTTACTGGGTCTGCCAGTGTTCCTAGGGCAGCTGGTAACCCCTTTCACCCAGAGCTTTTGTTTTGTGCTCAGTGCTGGATACTGCCAGATGTCACTTCCTGATGCTGGTGCTAAATGAGGGCTAAATTTTCTTGGAAAAAAATAAATTCTGGCTTTGTCAGCCAACAGAGATCCGAAAAAAAGTATCAGTTTTGTCAGCAACTTTCCTCTTTTTATATTAAGGTTTAGCATAGTACAGTGAAATGTAATGTAATCAATTAAATTACAGTGCTCACCTTACATACCAACTATGCTAACCTGTCCTTAAATTCACTTAATATGTAGAATTATATTTCTGTAGTACTTAATGTTTTTTCCCTTTTTTAATACAGTTTTTAAAATCTAAAATGCATGTTGCATATTGTACTGAGGATGTTACAAAAAATTCTAGAATGGGGAAAACTTGAAAAAAAGGCTTATTTTGAAAGCACTTTAGATTTGGAGCATGGCCACCATTTGCCTTCTGTTTCTGCCATATTTGTGCTATGATAAAGTAATCCCTGGGCTTTCCATTTTGAGCTGTGCATGTCATGTAGGAGAGTCTTGTTTAGCTGCACATCTTGCTGTAATTCAGTTGGGTAAATATTGGAGATACCCTGTCAAACATGCCCAGAGCATAGAGAAATATTGTTTGCCTCTCCATTTCTTGGAGAAATATTGTTTGCCTCCACTGATCTTAAACACCTCTGATAAAGGAGATAACACAGTCTCACAGGCAACTTGTCCTGGTTTATCACTGCCCTGGAGAGAGAGCTCTTCCTATTATCTAACCAGTGCTGTCTTTGGTGTAGGTTTAACTGTGCCTTCCTCCTTCTTTGCTCTTTATCAGTATATGATAATTATGTGAAAACAGTTGTTATACTCATCACTAACTACCTCTTTTATAGTGTCAGAGGTTTCCCAACAGTCATACCCTCACGTCTGTTATTTCCATCGTAATCTTCTGGACTGGTTTGTTTTGTATATACTTTTCTTTAACAGTAGTGCCCTTAACACTGTATTTTGGGGTGGTGCTAGCATCAGATCGTTAGTGCGATGTCTTATATCTGCTTTTACAAGAGTCTGGTATTTTACAGTGCTTTCCACAGCATTGCTTTGCTTGTGCCTACTTATTTGTGATGTCTGGAATTTGTTATACTCTTGCATGCATACTTGTTGTACTCTTGCCTACACAATTGTTTTTTATTCTGTTTTTTATGTACATGATTTTTGCTGCCAACTACTTCATATTTGTTTTTTATTGAGTTTCATCTTGTTGACTTTGGGCAATTCAATCACTTTCCATCATTTAAATCATTATTGAAGAGGGAGGCAAAACCTCTTTGGTGACCTCACTTAAAATGCCTTTTAGTTTGATAATGAACTGCTTACTATGGGAGTTTTCTCCTGCAGTGTTTTTGAGCACCCATGTGCCCACTTACTTAATTAGCATAAGCAACTGCCACAAAGGTACATTAAAGTTTGGATAAATTGCACCTGCTCCTTTCCTTAAAGCATCTGTCAAAGAAGAAAATTACAGTAGTTTTAATTTACTTCTTTATTGTGTTGTTCTTCGTTGCTTCTTATCTTGATGTCTAGAAGTTATTAGCTGCTGTGATGGTTTGAAACTCCCAAGGATCCAGTTTCTATAGTTTCCATTTAAAATAGTTTATTCTAGTATAGTTGTGGATATTAGAAGTGGTATAGTTGACAGTCTAATAGTCCCTGAACTTCTCATTTACAAAAAGTTATATCGATTTCCTCCTTTCCACCTGCCCAAGATCTTCCACATCTTACTTTTTTCAAAGAATATTTTTAACTTCTGGACAACATCTAGAAATTATAGATGCTGATTAAGCAAGACCTTCAAATATTTTTAGTTTCCAGATTTTGCTAGTAGAATTTAGATTATAGACAAGATGATGATGGGTGGATGGTGGGTTGAAAACTGGCTGAACTGAACTGGCAGGCTCAGAGGGCTGTGGTCAGCAGCACAAAGTCAGCAGAAGGTCAGTCACTGGTGGTGGACCCCAGCAGGCCATACTGGGGTCAGCAGCATCATTATTATATGACCTGGATGAGTGGACAAGAGGCTTTACCCTCAGCAGCTTTGCAGGTGATACAAAACTGGGAGGAGCTATTGCTGCACTAGGTGGTTGTGCTGCCATCCAAAGGGACCTCCACAGGCTGAAGAAATGGGCCAGAATTGGGGGTCCTGGTGGATACCAAGCTGAACATGAGCCAGCAAAGGAGGCCAGTTGAGTAAGGTGATCCTTCCCTTCTACTCAGCGCTGGTGAGACATTCTATAGAGTTGTATCTGGTGCTGGGTTTCCCAGTACAAGGCAGACATGGACATACTGGAGAGAAGAACCATGAAGATGATTAAGGGCTTGGAGTATCTGTCATACAAGAAGCTGCTGAGAAAGCTGAGGTGCTTTAACATGGAGGAGAAAGAGCTCAGAGGGCATCTTAATGATGTGTATACATACTTATTAGGTTGTTTTCAAACTTACTGGGAAAAAGGTAAAAAAAGAAAAAAGAGCAAGAAAACATTTAGTGAAGTGAGCATTTTTAGTATGTAAAGGCATACTTGGTTTTTTTTATTGTTTTGATTTGTTTCCCCCCGCCCCGAAAACTGGTTCTTTGCCATTTCTCACTTATTTCCCAATATCGTTGCTCAGGCTGTTAAGCCTTCTTGTCCCTTCTGTCTCTCGGAAGTAGCATCCAGAGAATTGATGGTTGTTGTTTGGCTGCTTAAATGTGGTTTGAACTTTGGATGATTAGGGCAAATGTTTTTAAGGAGAACTTGGGTGTAAATTGATCGTTACCTTGAAAGAGGTGAAGATATATACCATTGCCCTCACTTTGCCCAAATGATTTCATATAAAATGATTTCAGATGTTCACATTTTTGTTGCAGAATAATAAAATATGATAGTACCAGTGAAGAAAAAGTTAAAAATGGGTAATTTACACAGCAGACGTTATAGTGTCTTGTGTGACCTAATTTTAAGTCACATGTCAGAGGACTTAGAAAGTGGAAATGGTGTCATTAAAAGTTTTTTAATTCTGTGAAAGTCATTGTAAACATTTCCCATTCATATTTTTATCACTCTTTCTGATCTGTGTTAATGTGCAGCAGCCTACTGTTCTACATGTTTATAACCTTCAAATATGCACCTCTGCCAGCATTTCCATTTCTTCTTACATAAGCTATCTGTACCCTCTCATGATCACAACTTCTTCAACCCTTGGAAATAAGTGCAAATATTTTATGAAAGACTTTAACTATCTCTGTAAGATTTTTGCTTCCCGAATGATGGTACAAATATGGGCCAGTATATCTAGAGCAAAACGGTATTTCCTCACCAGTGAGTTGTATCTAGCAAAGATAGGCAGGTTCTTAACTTAAAGCCTGGTGTAGTTGTTCCTGAAACAGCTGTATGTACATGCAGTTCTACAGTCAAGGTACAGCAGCTTGTTGGTATCTTGAGGAGGACAATGGATTCATCCTTTCTGCCTATCTCCTCTCCTTCCTTTTCTCTTGTGACTGCTCCACTGCATTTACACCCTTCCAGTGATTTCCTTATCTCACCAAATTGGCAGAAAACTCTCCACAGTGTTGACTTAATTTGTTTCCTCCTTGAGTTCATTTTGCTCAGGATTTGTGAGTCCCTGTGTAGGTGGCAAGGAGGAGATAGGAGCGCTAAGCCCCAGCACAGAGGATGGGAGGAAGTGATAGGATGTTCCCTTCTCAGTGCTGGAGAGCTACGAGGTTTGCTCAGTGCCTCTTGTATGATCACACTGATAATATAGAGCAAGATGGGATTGTTTGAAGTGAGTTTAAGACTAAGGTAAACGACTAGAAAGGATGCTCTTAGTCGGGCATAGAATTATCTACTCAAACTTGCTGGAAAGCAGTTCAGCAGAAGCACCTGTCCATGCCTTTTAAACTGTAACTAGCAATATGATATTTGAATAAATCACAAAAGCGAAGACTGGCAAAATATAATGTTTAAATTTCAGTTCTAGTACTTTATTGCTCAAATTCTGTTGTTTTATAATTATTTTATTCCAAACTGTTTTAAGTGGTGCCATTTACTGTGTCTGTTGTCCCACTGCCCTGGTTTGGATTTCATATTCTTTTAGCTTCTACAGGAACGACTCAAAGTCCACTAGAAACAAGGCAATCCTGTTTGATGGATTCAGACAAGCTTTCATTCTGGCCCATCAAGCATATAAATAAAGTGTAACTTTTATAGTAACGGTTGTAAAATCGTCATGATCCAGAACAAGCAGTAGTAGTGTGATGGTTTATGTAATAACACTCTTTCTCCTTTTTGTAGGTCCTTTTGTTCTGCATCACAGCTGCTCTGTTCATGTTCTTCTTCAGGTATGTTGCTAGTATATCTATTTATGTTATAAAAATTATTTTAAACAGTGTTTCTTAGAACTTACTTGATTTTTGGTATTCATCTCAAAACTTTTATGTTCTCAACTCCAGCTTTCTGAATAGAGTGGAGTGCTTCTGTGGCGTCAAACCCCCAGTGCTGTGAACATAATAGAACTTAAAGGGGAAATGTTGAATTTAATTTGTTAAATCTTCTGGAGATTATACTGGTTACTTAAGGAGTCTCATCTCATAATTATGACTCTGGAGATCTAACGTTGCATAGTACAAAAACAGCTGAAATCTTGCTTTTCATATATGTTCTCACAAGTTATGAGTTGTATTCCTTTTTTAAAACATACAGTAACGGGGGTGGATGAGACATTCATTTTAATTACGTTTTTCTCTCTCACTTTGCAAGATATGTTGTTTACCTTGTCGCTGTTTCCCTTTAAATAGTAGACCTCTCAAATTTTATTATATCTCAAACTGGAAAATTGCTTTTCAAAGTAACCTTTGACTATAACCCTTTGACTTAGAATTTTCTGTGGCACATAGCCATCTATGTTTCTTCAAGCTGTATGATCCCCTGGTAATTGCAAAACTCTGGAAGCTGCAGCTTGTTTTTTTTGTAATTCCATTACTTACGGATATTGGCCAAGAACAGTCTGTGGATAGAGGAGGGCTGTTAATTTAGAGGATTCGAAGAAGCATTCCTCCTTTCATCTATAACCCATTAAGAACTTTGCATTGGCAGTCTTCTTGCTTTATTTTCCTCTGTGTCCAAGAGTTAAGCTATAACAACCTCAGAGAATTTGACTTATAAGTTTGAGGTTAGACACCTGTCTGCATGAATGCTGATCAAACAACTCAAAACATTAAAATTCTGGTCAAAACTATAAAGATTGTATGATTTTGGAGGAAGCTAATTGTCTTTATCCATGTCTTTGGTAATGAACCAGTGTTTTAGAGAGAATCCACAAGTTAAATCACAGAATCCTAGAATAGTTAGAGCTGGAAGGAAGCTTCAAGATCATTTAGTTCCAACCTCCCTGCCATAGACAGGAACACCTTCCACTAGACCAGTATTCATAGCCCCATCCAGCCTGGCCTTGAACCCTTCCAGGGATGGGGCATCCACATCTTCTCTGAGAAACCTGTTCCAGTGACTCATCACCACATGGTATCTCACAGTTAAGAATTTTGTCTTAATATCAAATCCAAGCTAACCCTCTTTCAGTTTGAAGCCATTACCTCTTGTCCAGTCACTGCATGCCCATGTAAAAAGTCCCTCTCCAGCTTTCCTGTAGCCCCTTTAGAGGTGAGAATTGATGCAGACTATAGAGGTATTTGGTGAATTTTCCCCTGATCTAACACAGCAATACTGGCAACTGAATGGGCTCCGAACCGTTTTCTCTTCTAAAATTAGTCACTCTATGCTAAGGTTGATGGATATCCTGTTGAGCAATCATCAACAATATTTAACTCCTTTTGTCTTTGTGTTTTAACTGAGGAATTAAAATAGAATATCAGGTTTAGTTTAATTCTTGGGGGAAAAAAATTGATTTGTAAACACCAACAAAAGTGCTAAGACAAGGTAAATTTGTAAAAAATAATTAGCACAGACCAGTTTTTGAGGTTTTTTTTCTTAGTGTAATGAGTGTTGTGAATAGAACTTCACAGTGGTTCACGTGCTACTTTTCTAAAGAAACCAGATAGATGGGTCTGGGTGAAAATACCTCTGGGCATGCACAGAGTCTACTCAACTGCTCATGGAGAAGAGACAGCAGAGAGGTCACTTGATCAGCCTGCAGTTCTTGTATGTTTGTCTGGACTGGCTGTGACTGTGGGTTGGTTGTTGTCTTAACCTGTATGTGAATTAATGATTGATCCCCTTCAGTAAGATTTTGGACAGCCCTTAGAAGAATCCTCTGTGGATCCATCCAGAGTCCCAGGGATGGCAGTCTTCCTATCTGTTGGAAGCAGAGAATAATTGGGAGAGTCGTTAAACTGTATTTCCTTTTTAATGGCTCAAAATCACTTCAACCTTTTTCCTAATCATAAGAGGATCAAACTGACAATATCATGTTCATACTTTCAGAATAAACACCTTCAAAGTCAGATCTACTTGGCTTATAGAATATATTCCCATTGACTATGAAACACTGTTTACTGTTAACAAGCCTTTACCGACCTGAAAAACAGAACATTCTCTCTTGTTTTGTATTTAATCTGTTTCCAGAGTGTCCTCCCCATTTTTGTCCTCCCCACCCCACCAAAATATCCAAAAAGGTCTGAGTGCAGTAGCAGTCATGGTCACCAAGGTCATATATAATTCCTTTCATCATTAAACATAAAATCCTAGTATCTAAATTGTGTAATTTGAAGCTTAAAACTTTTCTGAAAGAGACTTAACGTAAGTCTACCTCTATGGTATGAAAATCTGACTGATGCTGGGAAGTCAAATGTTGCAGGGAATAAAGGCAAAGTAGTCTTTTATTTTCTGCCTTATCCAAGGTTATCAGGTTCTCTGAGCTTAAAAGTGATGACTGTACCCAGTTGGTAGCTCTGGTTGGCACTGCATTCCTGGAAGCTCCAGTTTTAATTAAGCCTGGCTATTATTTCTGCTCTGGGTAATTTTGACCTGAATTATTGTCCCTGCACAGCTTGTGCCATGATGCACAGTAGCTGGCGTTGCCACTGTGAGGCAGCGGTAGCGGTTGGGATAAGCATGGAAAGCAGAGGTTTGCTCATTTTTAAGTGACTGCTTACCAGCATGGCTTAAGGTGATAGTTTTTGAACCTAGGAGATGAAAAGTTGTTTGAGCTGGAACGTTCAGAACTGTTTTCTTTGTGGAGGAATTGAGATATATCCTGTCCATCACACAGCTTCCAAGGTATCTTTCAGGTTGCCATGTTAGCAGCAGCCTGTTGAGTTTGTATTTGAAAGCTGAGTGCTCTGGTTGATAGTTATCCATTAAAAGACAAGAAAATCAATGTGGCACATAATTGCAATATGATCATACCTCTCCCTTAAGGTGGGTATCTTCCTACCCGCATTGTTAGGAAATAGATGTGTGAATCTTTGCCTATGGAAGTATAGGCATTGTTCTTGATTTATTTTCCTTTTCTAATATAATGATTTTTTTTCAGTATCTCATTATAATGTCTATCTTGCATTATTTTCTAAACAAATTCTGTAATAATGGTCTGTTGGCCAGGCAGATGTTTCACACTAGTTGAAAACTTCACCATCATGAGCCTTGATATTTATCACTAGAGTTTCTCCCAAATTTTGTTGGATTGTTCGAACATAATTGCACCTGCTACAGGACAACAAGAGAAAGAAGGTGCTAAATCTCAGGAGTTAAGAAGTGAGGTTACAGAACTGAAATGGTAGAAGAAAAAACAGGAGTAATTACTTCAGAATTGAAATTGAAAAGGGAGTCAGAATGAAATGTAAATTCAGAAGAGCAATATAAAAAGGAAGACAGTAGGAAGAGGGAAGGAGAAAGTGACTGAAGAGGGGAAAAAAACAAGATCATATCAGCTGACAGGGCAAAAAATAGAAGAATAAACTAGGAAAAAAGCAGCTGAAATGCAGATGATAGGTTTGCAAGCAACAGAGTTATATTTACGGACAGAGAAAGCATATTTTAGTTAAGTATTTTTTTCTTTCTTCTCTTCCATCCTCCTCTTCTCATAGTTTTCTCCTAACTTACACCTCTGTTTTTTCTCAAAATGCTTCTGTTCCACTCCACTGGAAGTGATGAAATTAAAATGCATTACTCATTTGTGGGTAGCTGTGAAATCTGACATATGTGTATTTAGTTCACAAATATAGGTAACCACAGTTGGCACAGGATTCTTCCCCCTTCCACCCATTTTGTTCTAAAACACTTAGATACTGAAGTGTGTCTGGGGGCAAGGAACGTTCCTATATCTGTAGGAATTAATTGTTAGGTCTCATTGAACTCCAGTGGGGCTTAGTATTCACTGCTAACTCAAAAAAAATAGTAGTTTGTGGTGTCATCTGATGTCCTGTATGATTTGGTTTAAAATGCACCATTCTTCAAGTGTCTTGTAAGAAAAGCACACTTTTCTTTAATGCATCTATTTTTAAAAAGAAATTTAAATTTGCATTGAATTAAAGTTATGGGTGTAAAGGTTTCGATTATACCATGGTTTCATGCCATTTTATTTCAGTCTGGATAATTCATGGTACTGACTGTCTAGAATACTCCTCTAGAATAATTTAATAGAACAAAATAAAGAAGTAGGAGGATCCTACAATGTGTAAAATAAGTATTTGTAAAATACAATTGAATTGTTATTTTAATAGCAGTTCTATTTTGAATATTACACTGGGGATTTTTTGGAAGGGTGATGTAATGGGTGTGCTTTTATGTGTTTGAAGAAATCCACAGAATATAAAACTTGCAATCTCTGTACAAAAAATGAACACCTACATATAAATCCTATCCATATAAAACTTAGAAAATCCAGCAATTTGTGTGAATATGTGTTGGCAGACTACAGTACTGGTTGCTATAGTAGTTAATCCTTAGACTGTATACTACCAGTTTATAATATGCACATGTTAATTCGTCTGCTCTGAACCCTAGAAAGGAAAGCTCCATGTATGAGCTAAAACCAGCTATTAAGGGAAGTTGGTTGTTTCTGATGATTGATTGATCATAAGTTGAGGATGAAGGCTGCCTTCTCTAGAGATAAAGGTTAAAGTGTTGTTTTTGAAACAATAATTTTGGGCAATCAGAAGTTACTGCTGTGATTTCACAAAGCTGAACATCATGTTTTTCATAATTCAGGATTTATATAGCTCACAACAGAAAGCTCTTGATCTCTTAATGTCATTTACATATTATGTGCTGATTAAAAATGAATAATGAACATCTAAGAAATGCAGATGCAGTGTCATACACTGCCACTAAGTATATGGAGTATTGAAACTGGAGTATTGAAACTTGTGTAAAGTCACTGAAA